TTTACACTTCAGATTTTTCACATGATAGTTTATAAAAAGTATGATTTTAATAAAATACAAATAATCTTATCACACGTTAAATAAAATATGGATATAATTGTGAGATTTTACGAAATTATTATCTGATGTCGCGAATGCGCGTTCTTTACTTCTAATGGGTCCTGCACACAGGACGCGGTAATGCTTGCCGCGCGGCGGAAGTTCGCGCAACAGCCAATCAATATGCTGCTTTCTGTAATAACTTTCTAGCTTTTATGGAAAAACAACATATTGATTGGTTATCGCGCGGATTTCCGCTGCGCGGCAAGCATTACCGCGTCCTGTGTGCAAGAGCCATAACTCCAGCTCGTTCCTATGGTGGCTGCATTCCGAAATTTACTGCCAGTGCTGAAATTCTATAGTATACGTAACATGAATTATAGATTTTTAGTACTGGCAGTGAATTTCGGAACGCAGCCGGTAAGGCATTGAATTACGCTCTATGCACAATGTCAGGCAACAGGCAATAAAAACAGGGAATACGAATTTGGATTGGTCAATTATTTCTATCCCCTGTTCCTATTGGCTAATGTCTATTCCTATTGCCTATTGGGGTGGGACCCGATTGACCACGATACAATTGGACACAGATTATAATGATTGGCTCGACTTAGTAATTCACTAGATAATTCTTTTCATCGGTTGGTTGTGTCCAATTGTACCATGGTCAATCGTGGCGCTCCTGCCTGTTGCCTGGCATTGTGCATAGGGCTTTAGAAGTAAGAAGTTGTCATAAATAACAAAAATACTAGGTGGTCGTGCCTATCATAATTTCCGGCCCTAGGCCGGAATTTCCGACTAACTCTAACTTTAATTGTCGTAAACACCCAGTTATGTCTTTCTTTGTTAGGATTGTAATATTTCGACTATATTTAAAACAAATTTTTGTACATTTATTGAACATATTACATCAATTACTATTATTCTTAATCCTTTTCATCCATTAACTCAGCACAAAATGTTTATAAAATATTTACAAAATATTTATAAGAATTATTTGAATATTTTATAAATATTTACCAAAATGTTACATAAATATATTTACAAATATATTTACAAAATATTTTTGTGACCTTAGATTCAATAGATAAAAAATATTTATATCTCATATTATATCTCATAAATATTATAAAAATATTTATTAAATATATACATTTATATATATTTTTCTCTTTTCCTGAATTTTTCTTAAAATTTCCACTTTATTATTTCACATGCTACTTAGTTGAATTTAAATTGTACTTTAAAAATTTGCTTGCCATTGCTGAAATTCGAATTTCTTATTTTTTCATTAATTTAATAATTTTAAATAATTACATTTATTTTTTTCATGTATAATATTTGTAAATAGATATATTTATAAAATATTGCTACAAATATTTATTTTTCGTTTACTATAAATATTGTGTAAAATATTTGATCTGTATTTTAATAATATTTTATTATAAAGATTTTAATACTTTTTTCTTCATGTATATAAAATATTTATATTATATTTATATAATATTTTTAAGAAATAATTCGAAATAAATATTTATCATAAATATTGTATGCTGTTTAAGAAACGCACTACTTTCTGCACATCAAAGAACCGTATTCGTACTTAATATTCCTGCGCATTCGGAACTCAAGCTTCAATTTTTCGATAGCCGCTTGGATTAGGATGCTAAAAGTTGCAAGCAGTTATACGATTCTGCTTGCAACTTAAATTAAAGAACGGTCAAGATTTACACAGTCTGCATCTTGATGTGCGTAACTGGATATACAGAACGATTAAATTATGTATCTGATGCATCAGGTTGTATCTGTTGCGAATAAAAGAACGCCCTGAAATGCGCACCCGAAATGTTACATAGGCTTGGTTTACATCGTGCACTTGATACGCGTACTAAATAGTAACTTTCTATTAGATAATCTTAATATCGACAATGCATATTAACGGCGACGCATTCAATCGATACAATACGTTTTCTTGATGAGTATTATATCAGCTTAATATATCGTTGTTTATATATATCGTCGATATTAAGATTATCTAATAAAAAGTTACTATTTAGTACGCGTATCAAGTACATGTACGATATAAACCAAGCCATAGGCCGGTATTCATAGTCGAATCTTATTTCAAGATCGTCTTAAATAATGTCTTAAGATGCGAATACAGCTCTGTGATTGGTTCATGACATCTTAAAACAGTACTTAAGTTGATCTTAAATATAAGATCTGACTATGAATACCGGCCATAGACTGCGTTCCGAAATGCACTGCCAATATTGAAAATCTATAGTTTATGTTATATATATTATAGAATTTAGGTGAGACCCAATTGACTATGGGTGCTTTCTAATTGCTTAACACATCTTGACAAATATGTACACAGAAATGCACAAAGTGTAACGTTGTGTACGATTCAATTGGAACAAAGTATATACGTATGTCGGGTAGGGTTAGGATTATTTTTCAACTGTGCTTATATTTTGATATTTTTTAATAATAAATAATAAAATCTAAATATTAAAAAAGATATACTCTACTTCACGTCGCAAATGCCAGTCTTTTTTCAAGCCGTTATGGCTCCTGCACACAGGACGCGGTAATACTTGCCGCGCGGCGGAAGTCCGCGCGACAGCCAGTCAATATGTTTTTCCGTAAGAGCTAGAAGGTTATTACGGAAAGCAGCATATTGATTGGCTGTTGCGCGAACTTCCGCCGCGCGGCAAGCATTGCCGCGTCCTGTGTGCAGGAGCCATTACGCTTATTAACTTTAATTGTCATTAGAAAACACTAGCTTACACAGCCGACTAGTAGCCCTCGAGCTGAGTACCCTCGAGCTGAGTACCCTCGAGGTGTGTAATGTTGTGTCGACAATACGACAATTGGAATGCAACTTGTGTCGCCGTGTGCATGAAAGTGTCTAGGGATATTGCAATTGGAAAGCACCCTATGATACGATTGGACACAGATTGTAATGATTGGTTCGACCTGGTAATTCACTAGATAATTCTTTCCATCATTAGTTGTGTACTGTGGTCAATCGGGATGTTTCCATAAAATTTCAGTATTGGCAGTGAATTTCGGAACGCAGCCATAATATTGTAAATTTATCTTGAAGATCTTTTTATTCTAACTCTCTTCACCAGGTGGCGTATGGATTTACCTCCAAGCTAGGAAATTGATAGATAGATAGACACGTAAGATGCACATGTGAGTGGCTACCCCCTGTTTAGTGGTTAATAGTATTTGACGCGTCTATGAGTGTATGTTAATATATATCATTGTCAAAATGGTTTTGTTGGAGAATGACACGGTAATTTTCATTTTGTACATGTGTGTCATTGTTTATTATATAAATTATTAATCTATAATTTCTATTTATAGTTCTTAACGGAACTAACCAAACTTTTTGACAAGTCGCGACTTTCTGGTTCGGTAGCACTCACTATCAAAAGATGTAAGTATTCGAAATTGTTAACCGTATTAAAAATATATGGTAATTATAAAAAGGAAAAGGGAAACCTCACTGATTTCGAAAGAAATTTGGTAAAATAATGTATTTTGACACGTAGAAACCGAATCTAAAAGCCAAAATCGTCGCTCTTCACGGTGAAGCGAGATATTAATTGATAAAGTTGACCACTTTTAAGGTTAGGAAAACTGTCAAATCAACATTAACAGCGACATATATAAGACCCGTGGTCACATAAGGATCCAGGGGGCGAAGCCCCCGGTCGGGAGGACTGAAAGCCCCCCTGGTTTGACAAAAATAACATTCTAAAAAAAGAAAGTAATGCATCTCGCATGGTATGTTAAGCATATGTTGTTTTGTGAAGTGCATTTTTATTTTTATTTAGAATGTTATTTTTGTCAAATCGGGGGGCTGAAAGCGCCCCGAAACCCCCTGGACCCTCATGAAACCACGAATATTATATATATCGCTATTTGTTGTCGCTCTACACAACGTAACAAGATATTAATGATGAAAGTTGCACACTGTTTAAAGTTAGGAAACCTGTCAGAGCTTGATGTTTATATATCAATTCCGATACGGTAAAATACACATATATTTCAGATTGATACATTTTAATATATAAAATAATATTTAAGCTTAATATATTAAGCTACAATCTTTCGCCTTACTAAAGTAATGAGTAATGTATACTAAAATAAAAGAGCCTAAAAGGATTAGCAAAGGCCCCTACGCAAGGTATGTGTTACATTAATTTATCACTAAAGTCTATGCATTTTATTGCAGATTTACAAACTTTGCGTAGGGGTCTTTGCTACTCTTAGAATTTTTTTATTATAGTATATATTAGACTCATTAATTTAGTAAGGCGAAATATTGTAGTTCAATGTATTTTAAATTGTGCATCTTTTTTTATACATCTGTACCAGTATCGGGATCGATAAAATTCATAGAATGATTCACCGTCAGATGTTGGAAACCTTCTGCTTAAGCAGTTATACGATTTTTCTAACAACCTGTCACTATTGTCTTTGGTAATATCCATTCCTTAATAATATTTAATAAAGTTGTCTCTACCCGATCTAGAACTGGCACAAGAAATATTTTTTCGAAACCTCGTTCATATTCATTGAATATCCATTTGCTTTCTATTATTCGGCTACAGTTATATTTTCTCTTGCCGATTTTGTCTTCGTCTATTTCCACTATTTCGTTCGGTCCTCCAAGTTTTGTTGAGTTTTTTTCGACCCAATGTATGCAAATCTATTTTATATATATATATATATATATATATATATATATATATAATGTTTATTAATGTTTTATTACATCTACCTCTCGGCAAAAAGAAGTCCAGTCTGCAATTGTATGGTCAGACAGGTTTAGTTCTATAGATAAAAAGTCTTGTCGTGGAGGTCTTAACATATACATATACATATATATATATATATATATATATATATAT